GTGATTGTTGTCAGCATGGGCCTGAGTACCTAAGCCTGAATACCCCGGTAAGTGGATGGGGTAGGAGTCACGAGGCCTGCATTGACGTGGTTAACTAGCGGCTTCGGAACTGGTGCCACGAGGCAGGCTTTGGGTTTTTTGATAACGACCCATGTTTTTGTAAGGAGGGCATGCTGGGGTGGGATGGGCTTCACCTCTCCCATAAGGGCAGATGTATCTTTTCCTCTAGGTTGGCTAATCTCGTACGGCAGGCTTTAAACTAGCTTTGCCAGGGGAAGGAGCCACTTTGAGTGGAGAAGTGCTTCACTAGCACGCAGGGTGACAAGAGGAAGGGAAGCACAGCTAAGCAACAACGTCCGGGGAGTAGGGGGCCACAACTGTCCTGGGAATGGGAGGGAGGCACGTGCACCCTCAGGAGGCCTAAGGTGCCTCTACACTAATGCTCGTAGTATGGGGAGTAAGCAGGAGGAACTATGCCTCCTGACATCTGAATATATTGAGTCCTCAGCATAAGACAGTGATAAAACAGTTTGTGCTTTGCCACATACCACACGTTCAACACAGGTTGACCCCTGGATATCCATGGAGTTAAAAAAAAAATGTGCAAAAGAACAAGTGGAACAGCATACATGGGGCCAGAACGCACAGCTCAAAACCGGAGCCTGGATGGCCAGAGCCATGCTCTGGCTGCCAGCCTGGCTCTGCGCAGCAGGATTGCTGCTGCCGCAGCCCCCTGAGTTCCTGGAGGCCTCATGTAAGTGCACAGTGCTGGCTGGCCCCGGCCTCCCCTACCCCACCCAGGGGCACCTGTCACACACCACAGGACTCCTGACACAGGCATTCCCCAGGGACAACTAGCAGCAGCACATGGTGTCCCCCTGCTAGCTGTCCCTGGGGAACCAAACGTCCATGGTCATGTGGATGTGGCCACTGGAGATAACTGCTTCTTATTGGGAGCAGGCACATTTGTACCTTTTAAGATCAGGAAATATTTTGCTAATGACAACAATGAGCCATAGGAACTGACCTATGGTTTAGGGGTTTATCAAATAAATATATTAAAAAGGAGCAGCTTACTAACGGGAGAGAGAGAATACTACCGAGTGATCAGGAGAGCTGGTCACAAGTGTTTTTGCCATGAGATTTTGTTTCATCGAAATTAAAATGTTCTGCAGGATAATGAATAATTCAATTGAGTGTTTCAATTTCCCAATCAAAACATGCAGATGAAACAAAATGTTGTTCCAAAATGATATTTCATGACATAATGACAGTTCATTCATTCAGAAGCTCTTCTAGCCAGATAATTTAAGGAGGGGACTTTTTCCCATTACATATTCCAAAGGAAACACTTGGGTTTTTCTGACCGTTTTTGTTTGTTTGTTTACTGGTTGAACACTAACAGACTTTCTTTAGCTAGTATAACAAGAGATTTGGTCACTATGTCCTTTTCTGCTTAGCAAGGGACAGGTTTGATTATCCTTTCCTAACTCATCCTAATCTTCAAAGCAAGTAGTTTTAGGTGTATTAACTTGCAACTTTCTGCCCCACCCTGTCTTTTCTTTAATGTGAAGAAAATAATCAGCTATTTGTCCTGAAGACTGTTACTAACCAAAGCCGGTTAAGGCAAAAATGTAAAGACCAGAGACTCCTGTAATTTCAGCATTTGTGTGGTTTTAAGGAGCAGAATGAAGCATTCTTCCCTATTTCTAGTCATGTGACTGCAGGAATGTTTCTTTTTTTCTTTTACCTTTGCTTAAAAGGACCTTCAGTGTTCTTATGAGATTGGAAGTATTAGTCCCTAATACTTAGTTTCCCAAGTGACATTTGGGAGCCATTTCCAGCAACACGATAGGCTCTGAAACTTTTGTGTTGCTGGATATCTCTGTTTGCCTGCTTGTTCTGTATGGAAGAAGGGAGATAAGATGATCGAGTTTAGGCAGATAACGTAGTATTTCCCCTCTTGCAGTATTGCCAACCCCATTGTGACAAAAATCATGAGATGCTCTTAAAAAATCAGTAGATTGGTATGTAAATCATGAAGTGCTATTTTTGAAGTGTGTGCGGAGGCGTTATTTGAAGGTGTCAGGGGCTGTGGGTCTGTGTGTGGGGTTTGGAGCCTGGGGAGGGTGAGTCCTGGCAGGATGTGGGGTACTGTGGGTCAGGAAGTGAGAGGCAGCAGCAGGGCTGGCGGGGGCTGTGACTTGGGAGCGAGGGGCAGGCAAACAGACAGACACACAGAGAAGGAATCCACAGCATACATACATACAGGCTGGGGAGTTCCCTTCTCGAAAGCACAGAGGCGGAAAGGGATCTTGAAGTCATTATCAGCTCCAAGATGAACATGAGCCGCCAATGCCAGACCACAGCCAGCAAGGCCAGCCATACCTTGTCATGTATCCAAAGCTGCATCTCAAGCCGGTCCAGAGAAGTGATACTCCCCCTCTATGCGACTTTGGTCAGGCTGCAGTTGGAGTACTGCGTCTGGTACTGGGTGCCGCACTTCAAAAGGGATGCGGCCAGCCTGGAGAGGGTTCAGAGGAGGGCCACCCGCTTGGTGAGAGGGCAGCAGGGCAGGCCCTAGGAGGAGAGACTGAGGGACCTGAACCTGTTCAGCCTCAGCAAGAGGAGGCTGAGGGGGGACCTGGTGGCTGCCTACAAGCTCATCAGGGGAGATCAACAGCAAATAGGCAGAGCCCTTTTCTCCCCAGCACCACCTGGGGTGACAGGGAACAATGGTCATAAGCTGATGGAGAATAGGTTTAGGTTAGAGATCAGAAGGCAATATTTTACAGTTAGGGTGGCCAAAATCTGGAACCAGCTTCCCAGGGAAGTGGTCCTCACCCCTACCTTGGGCAAATTCAAGAGGAGGTTGGATGATCACCTGTCTGGAGTCTTGTGAACCCAGCATTCATTCCTGCCTGTGGCAGGGGGTCAGGCTAGATGATCTGTTCAGGTCCCTCCCGACCCTAGCTGCTATGAAACTATGAAGCCGGTCGAAGATGAAGAGCAGGAAGGAGTGTTCGGTGCTCCGTGGAAGTGTGCCGTCTAACACTTCAGTGACTCGAGGATCTCCAGCATCTTGCTTCCCTCCAGCGGACTCCACAGCGGAGGCAATTAGGGTTGGCTCCCAGAACCTTTCTCCCTCCGGGTGTATCTTACACTTGTAGCAGCCGTTTGCCCCATTGTTGTAAGTATCACCCTGCTCCGCCTCCCTCCTCTCTATCTGTTCTGTATTAGAATAAGTGACCCCTGTTTAATAAATGGAAGGTAAGCCACTGCCAGCTCGGAGTGGACTTGAGAGATGGACAGCCCTCAGGATCTCAGAGGCTGCATCGGCTGGAGTTTAATAAAGATCTCCCTTCCCTTTCTTAATAAAGTTTATGCCACTCTGTACCTTGATAATAATAGTGTAAGGAATAGACAGATAGTTATAGATAGATATATTATACTTAGATAGATGTAGATAGAATACTATAGTTAGGTGCAAAGGGTATTATTGATAAGAGTGTGTGAGTACTGTGTTTAGTCTCGATATTACTTACCTGTTGTTTGCTATTTGTATATTTAATAAACCGTTTTCATTCATTTAATTGATTATCCATGTGTGGGTCCTAATTAAGCAATTCACAGACTAATTGCCAGGTGGGCTGGTGGTGACAGATATGTCATGTTCCATTCGTTAATGGCTCTGGGGCCAAAAGACCACCCCCTATTGTGAGTGGGATTGAAGGGTCAGCCACTTAATGAGCGACCTTAATTAGGCATTAATTGTCCCCTCACAACAGGCAGGAGTAGCCTTGGGATTTCCCTTAGGTCCAGTCAGCCAAGGACAACAGGGGAAGTGAATGGGTCCTGCCTTCCTCAGCTAATCTCCCTTGGCATCTCAAGACAGCCTGAGGCTCCATCTGTACCTTGGACTCCCCCATGGAACTCAGGGTCTGGGATCCCAGGGAACTGGGAGGCACCAGCACCTGACCCACACTATGGAAGTAGGGTGTGACTGCACCACTGTGCCTGCCCCCCACCCAGATCCACCCCTGCTGATTATTAGACAGAGGTCTAATATTCTAGATCTAATTCTAGTAATTTTCTAGACTTAATATCTAATTTCCCCATCTCCAATTTTCAAGTAAATTCCAAAAGATAAAACAGTACTAGGACTTCAGGAAATTTGTGGAATGCAGTCAAAGGACCTTCCACACTTTGGGACACTGTCCAGCCCACAGGAAACAGAAGGCAATATTTTACAGTTAGGGTGGCCAAAATCTGGAACCAACTTCCCAGGGAAGTGGTCCTCGCCCCTACCTTGGGCAAATTCAAGAGGAGGTTGGATGATTACCTGTCTGGGGGCTTGTGAAGCTATCATTCATTCCTGCCTGTGGCAGGGGGTCAGGCTAGATGATCTGTTCAGGTCCCTCCTGACCCTAGCTACTATGAAACTACTATGAAATATTACCCTGTTTAAAGACCTACAGCTCTTCTCTCCGTAAATACTAGAAGGGACCAAGGGAAGGTATAATACGGAGGTGACTTTCTTGCTGACATGTCCCTTGCCCCTGTCAGACTCCTCATGTTCCATCCCCTTCAAAAAATATCATGATTCCCTCTATCATAAATTGTCTCTCACAAATGTCTCTGCCCAATAAGTCACTTTAATTACCATAGTTCATATTAAAGACCTTTAGCTGGCATTCCTTACTTGTGGCCAAACTTTGCCATTTTCAATACAAGAATAAGAAATGGGGGGTGGGTCCATAACAGTCAATTATTTCATTAATTATTTGATACCTGCTTTTCTCTGAAATCCTCTGGAAGCTCAGCTAAAGGAGTCAAAGATGCCACAGGTGTAGCCCATTTTCTTTTATCTGCTGAAGGCTGTAGTAATCCACAAGCTAATAAATGCTCTCTATTCTTCTGATAGATGTATTCAGGTTGTTTATTATGCTGATACACCTTAAGCACAGGCTCAAGGGAAGGGAAGGGAAGGGAGAATGTTAAAATGAAAGGTAAATAAAGACTTAGCTGAAGTAATAAACATTTTAAATTGCATACTTTTTTATACAATTAAATGAAGAACAAAATTACTTCTGGGTAATTCTAATTCTCTAATGGAAGTCATTTAGGAAGGAGAAATCAAATACACAAATACAAAGTGGGGAATAGCTAACTAGGCTACATTATGGCAGAAAAGTAGCTGCAGGTTATAGTGGATCACAAACCAAGTATGAGTCAACAATGTGATGCAGTTGCAAAAAAAAATTGCAAATCTCATTCTGGAATGCATCACCAGGCCTGTCTACATAGTACAAGGGAAGTATTTATTCCACCCTACTCAGCACTGCTGAGACCTCAGCTAGAACACTGTGTGCAGTTTTGAACAACACATTTTAAGACAGAGATACAGACAAACTAGGGAGAGCATGACAAATAATGAGGTATTTCAGAAAAACATGACCCATAAGGAAAGGTGGGAGGAGGTGTAATTGTTGAGTCTAGAACAGAGGAAGAATGCAGCAACAGTAACAGCACCACACCTTTGGCCATGAAGAAAACAACAGATAAAGTGAGGGGGAGTAGAGGGGAAGGCTCTACACCCAATGGGAATGAGTGCTCCCCCCTCTCTCAGAGTGCAGCTCCAGCATTCTTCCATAGCTCCCCTTCTCTTAATTGTTTTAGCAAGAGTTCTTCTGTGTTTCACCCTGAGGTATATTGCACTTCAGGAGGAAACAATGTGGTCTCAGCTCTTTCTCTGAATGCTGTTAATAATCTTGTGCACATCACAGCTCTGATTGAGCTATGCCTTATGCCTCCTTCTTCAAAGAATGACTAAGCATCATTTCCCCCTTATGAAATATGTGTAACTGAGATTTTGCACAAGGTCATTTTTGAGTACGCTGGGATTAAAACTAAGAATCCACATTTTGTCCTCCAGGCACAGAAAAGAAGGCAGACTATAGGAGAAGGGGACAAAATTTACCTTTAAGCCTATCTTTTCCTTGCAAAGCCAGCAGATCACGGCGCTTCAGGGAGCCCACCCCTGCCCCAGTCCTGGTAAAATCTGTGTGCAAGGAAGGAGCCCCCCAGGGGGCATTTGCCTGCCTGTACACTAATGCCAGGAGCTTGGGGAATAAGCAGGAGGAGCTCATCCTCTGCTCAGTGCAAACAATTACGATGTCATAGGGATAACGGAGACCTGGTGGGACTCCACCCATGACTGGACCACGGGGATAGATGGCTATACCCTGTACAGGAGGGATCGTGTAGAGAAAAGGGGCGGGGGGGTAGCTCTCTATGTTAAGGAAAGCTACACGTCCCTGCAAGCC